TCGTCATCTATCCAATGACATGTTATGCCCATGTAAGAATGATTTTGCCAATGATCACTCCAAATATCACTACATATATGCACGCATCCATTAAATTGCATAAAAAAGTTTTGTAAATCATTTTTTCCATTTTTGTAAAGATCTTTAATTACTCGTTTAGTTGTATTTCTAGAAACACGTTTTGCTTGTGGAGCACATGCTTTTTGTACAAATTCATTAAAACCAAATCTTTCTCCAAAATTAAATGCTAAATGCTCAACGGAAATAAATTTGCCTAATTCTTCCTTATAAGTTTTTTCATTAAAACGAAATAAAGGGGAAGTGTTAGGATTGACGTACCCAGAAATTTGTTGTTGCCCGATATCGATTCCCGTTTCAGTTGGATGTTTGCTCATAAGATGTCGTTTAAATGTTCAATATCCTTGTCTACCTGTATATTTATATATTTTTCCACAATATTTACAAATTATATCATACCTTTTTTGACCGATATCAAACCTTTCCATTTTCGTGAAGTGATTCCAAATGTCGGATGTAAATTCCCGTTCCGCTTCCTTTGTTGTAGATATTTCAGCAGGAGGATGAAAACTTTCTTGCGTCGGGACGCGCTCCACATCGTGAAAAATGTTGATTTCATCATCTTGAAAATCTGCATATTCACGAGGATCAAAAGAATGATGGGATTCCGTCGCGATATTCTTACCTTTGCCAGTTGGCACTCGACTTCCACTTGCCATTTTTCGAATGGATTGAGAGAATTGAGCGGATTAATTGGGAGAATTAAGAAAGAATTGCGTGGATTGAGAAAATTGAGAGAATTTCAGAGAATTTGAGAGAATTTCGAGTATTGAGAAAATTTGAGACTTGAGAGAAGAGAATTGGAGAGAATTTGAGAGAATTGTGTGTGTATTGTGAGAATTTGAGAGAATTTATAGGAAAAAAATAGAAGAAAATTTAGAATTAAAAAAAATAAAACATAACCGTTGCAAAATTGCAACGGTTATGTTTTTTTTTGTTTTATTTTATTATAAAAATGCCTGTTGGGGCGTAGCCGTTGCCCCAACGGGCCGCACGCCGCAGCCGCAAGGTGCTGCGGCGCAGCAGGGCCTGCACGTCTGCAGGCCCTGCTGCAAATAAATCTATTTTTTTTTTTTTGTTGGGCCGTTGGCCCGTTCTCCTCGCGGCCTGCAGTGCAGGCGGCCGCAGCGTGGCTCGCACCGGCAGCCGTGGCTGTAGCTCGCACCGCAGCTTTTTTTTTTTTTCGCAGAACCGGCCCGAACCGGCGGTTCCGGGCCGGTTCAAATTTTTCTGGAACCGGAACCGGGACCGTATGCCACGGGCCGGTTCCGGTTCCGAACCGCGGGCCCGGGTTTGACCGGGCCGGTTCCGGTCCGGTTCCGGGCCAAAACCGGCCCGTGGCCACCTCTTATCCATAACTTATCCATAACGAACTCATAATTATTAATAGGAATTCGAATTGAGGGTACGATGCCACAGCAAAGAAACTCCAACCGACTAGAAATTCGAACTCATGACCACTTACTTTGATATCATGTGAGATCACTGTCAACTGTTCTAAAAGTTTAAACTGTTAAATAAAGACGATTTAATATTTAAATATTCTAACAATCATATGTTCGACGATGGCCCAGTGCAAAAACTTCATAGTCCAAGAATGGTTGGTTGCGATCTCGCGGGGTCTTGCGATGGCACGGTATGTTTATCTGTCGATAGCAGCGGATTTCTCCTATATAACCCGGCCACCGAGGAGTGTAGGAATATTCCCAGTTCGGATCTTGTTACAAAATGTCATGCGTTCCTTGGATTCAGATACGACTCCGCATATGATGACTATAAGATGGTACTCGACGAAGGTGTTGAAATATGCTAGGTGGCGGTATTTTCGCTCAAGTCTAGTTCTTGAAGAAGGATACTGATCCGACAAGAAAGCCACCTCTTCGTATTTTAGTGAGGTCTTTATTGGAAGGCGGCCTTACACCGGTGCACTTAGATAACTTCTGGGTATTAAGATCAATTAAAGTTAACAAAAAATGTCAGCACATCAAACTCGGACATAGAGACTTGTAGGGTAAAACAAAGTTATCCATAACGAACTCATAATTATTAATAGGAATTCGAATCAGTTTCTTCACTTTGTTTGCACTCTTGAAATCCGTGCACCAGAGAAGCCAAAGAGCTTTGTCAAATGCATGGGAGCGATCATCCACAGACAACATGGGGAGAATATACCTATTCAAATACTTATCCAGGAGATAAAATTTTATTTAATACTAATTCCCATGTGTGCTACCAAATGGGAAAACAAATGATAATGATAAGCAATTCTTTCGGTTCCTCTTGACTTGAATTCGAGTATACATCCATTCTTTTGTAAAAGTACAAATCATTAAAGGTACTTCTTGTTTTTTTAGCAAGAAAAAAAAAAGTGCAAATCATTAAAGAGCGATACAAATTTTTATCATGGTAAAATACTCTTTCTGTAATAACATTATCCGAAATAGAGAAATCGAGAGGCGGAAAAAAACAAAGAAAATGAAGATATTCAAAATCGGTCACTGTGCCCATCCCCCATCCCATCCATCACTGCCCCAGCTTTTGCAGCATAGCCCGTGGAGCTTAGGAGTTGGAGGTAGGATAGGAGGAGAGGAGACTCAAGTGCATATCCATCTCCATTAATTCGCAGGATCTCCATTTTCAAAAGCGAGTCGAGCTTCATACTTCCCTAATAAATTCAAGTGCATTTTAGCCGGTGAGATCTCCCGCTGATTTGCACGAAGAAAGATGGGGGCGAGAGTTTTGGGATCTCTGAAGATGAAGCAAAATGGCTGCTTTTGGTAAAAAATAAATAAATTATTTTCACTAATTTCAAGTGCTTTAAAACACGGCCCAAACGAAAAATGGGATTTGCCAATATTTCAACTGATAATTTGTATTTTAATAAAATTTCACCATGTCCAAATTTAATGATTTACAATATTTTTCGAATACGACGACGAAAGCGCGAGAAAGCAAACTTCATTTTTTCATACATACACATATATATGGAGATTTACAGGTCGTAAGAAATGCTTATCCTTCTTCTAAGCAACGCATCTTATTCATCTTTTGGAGCTATCTTCTTAGTGGGGCGAATAATTCGTTCGGAGTTCGCGAGTTTCTTAGTCGACTTTCTCAAGAATGTGATTTGGAAGCTTGCGAAGGGGGAAGTTTAAAGCTCGATTCAACGATGCCGATTCAGACTCGGGTCCATGTCGCGTCTCCCCCGACCGATTCTCGGTGCAAACGATTCAAATTAAACAGGAGAACCAATCTTTATTTAATTTTGCCTAACGATAACCCACGAAAGATGTCGTCGTTCGTTGTTTGTTTTTCAATTTGGAAAGAGACACGATTTGACGATGCAGGCAATAAAAATGCTCACCGGGATCAATAACAGGACCTGCTCAATTTGTGACGTCGGTTTAATAATGTCCCGTAAATTATTTCGTAACTTAGGGAAGTCAAACATGAGGAGCTTCGACCCAAACAAAAAAAACAGAAAGAAAGAAATGAGGAGGAACCGAAATGGGTTAAAGACCTCCTAATAAAGGATGTTTGTCCCTCTGTTCTAATCCTTTCGTCGTTGCACTAGTTGTCAAGCCCATAATGGCCTTTTAGTTCAAGTACCGCCGTGGGGGCGCGGGCCCATAATGGCCTTTTAGTTCAAGTACCGCCGTGGGGGCGCGGGCCCCACCGATTTAATGGGGGAAAAGAAAAAAGAAACAAATATGACCATGGTACTACTACTGCTGCTGCTGCTACTTGAGTACTTGTTCGTATGATCATTTTGCCTGCTGCCTGTTCTCTCTTCTTCATCTTTCCCCTGGCTGGCCAGCTCGCTCGCTCGCTCGTTTACTCTTAAGAAAAGCAAAAGCCGAAAAACACAGAGCAAGAAGAAGAAGAGCGCAAAAACACACTCCTCCTCATCCTCCTCCTTACTCGCTCAGCAAAGTCGGTGGAGGAGGATGGAGGATATGAGCACGAGGGAAACACATCCCCATTTCTTGACATCCTTCCCGCGTTTTCCCTCCTTCCGCGTCGATGAGATGATGAGTTGGAGGAGGAAGAGGAAGAGGCGGTCACGGGGAGTGGCTGGCTTCCCGCCCTCCCTCCCCACGCCCCCCGCCGGCGGTATATATATCTATCCTTCCCACTCCCTCAGCTCAGATCACCCCCCTCGCCGCACATTCACTTCGTTTTTTTGTCTCTTTTTCTGCGCAATCCTCCATCTTCATCTTCTTCATCTCCATCATCATGAGCGACTGGGATCCTCAATGGTCGCCGCCTCTCAGGTATCTCCTCCTCCTCCTCCTTCTTCTTCTCCTTCTTCAACATGCTCGCTCTCTCTTCCGTCTTCTTCTTCTTCCTCCTGACGATCTCTGCTTTCCGATTTGCAGTCCGCCTTCCGCTTCGCACGACGAGGCACCTTCTTCTGATGCATCTGCGGCCGCGTCGCGAGATGATTCTCCTCGGTTTGCCTGCTGCGCGATCTTCGTTATCTGCTTTTTCTTTCTTCTTTTTGCTCATTTCTTCGGTGTTCGATGCCTGCTGTTTGTTAGTTTGTATTCCGTGTCCACTGATTTGCGGCAACATCCTTGCAGCGATTCTCCTCCTCCTCGCGTGGTTTGCCTGCTGCGCGATCTTCGTTATCTGCTTTTGCTGTTTTTTTTTTTTTTGCTCATTTCTTCGGTGTTCGATGCCTGCTGTTTGTTAGTTTGTATTCCGTGTCCACTGATTTGCGGCAACATCCTTGCAGCGATTCTCCTCCTTCTCGCGTGGTTTGCCTGCTGCGCGATCTTCGTTATCTGCTTTTGCTGTTTTTTTTGCTCATTTCTTCGATGTTCGATGCCTGCTGTTTGTTAGTTTGTATTCCGTGTCCACTGATTTGCGGCAACATCCTTGCAGCGATTCTCCTCCTCCTCGCGTGGTTTGCCTGCTGCGCGATCTTGAGATCTGCTTTTTTTTTTTTTGGCTCATTTCTTCAATGTTCGATGCATGCTGTTTGTTAGTTTGTATTTGCAGTGATTCTCTCCTCCTCTCGCGAGGTTTGCCTGCTGCGCGATCTTGAGATGTGCTTTTTTTTTTTGCTGTTTTAGTTCTGTTTTAGTTTTCTTTTGCTTATTTCTTCAATGCGTATGGCTAGTTTTAAGTAAGAATTTAGGGACCGGGGGTTTTTCATTTGGAAGGTTCCGCCGGAACCGAGGAACTTGAAGACGACATGATGTTATCTTTCTTACGTGTTTCTTTTTCGGGTCTGCTTACTGTACTGGCGTGATCAAGGCTTTTGAGTTCATCTGTTGCTTGCAAAGGCTATCACGAGTTGTTTCAGCGCATTTTTTTTGAAAGAGCAGCGGCTCTATGGGCTGTGTTTATGGTTGCTCCATTTCATTAGCTTCCTGTTTTATTTGGGAGGAAGAAATAGGAGAGCCTTTGAGAATGGGATGGCTGATTCTTTAGATCGAATGATATATGGCTTTTCCACGAGTACGTTTTGGTGGTGTGGAAATGACATTACTAACGTGCGTTCTTTCCTATACCTAATAACGCAAGTTGCGTTCATGTTTTATTACACGGGCTAGCATCTGCCTGACGCCATTGTGCAATAAATTTCTTTTGCTTATCTAAAGAAAATTCTTAGCAAACTCACTGGAGATGATGTTCGAGTGGCACTCATCTGCTTATGGATACACAAACTTTCCCGCAAGCATGCGTAAATACTTCCTGACTTTTCTCCATTTCCGTCGGCAGTCTCCAGGCGGCGGCTCCTCCTGCTACCGTGGTCGCTTCGCACAGCGGATCTTCTCCAATGAGGTAAGCTCAAATGTTGTTCTCTTCTCTATCCTAGGACGCATCTCTGTGGATTGATGTATAGTGGGATTCTGCCCTTGATATTGCGTAGTTCTCCTTTGTGTACCCTAAAAAAAAGAGATTCAGTAAGAATCGCAGCTAACATCATGTGTGTTCTCTTGTGCATTTCAATTGTACACTGTTAGTTTGGATCTTTCGGATAGGATGCGAGTTTATTCAAGGTTACATATTCGGTGTCCAAGTATACTTTATTCCTTCTGTACGAGATCTATATAGGCCTTATAAACATGGAATGATTATCAAAACAATCCTAAACCTTAACCGCCGTTCTTGATGTTCTTCGTTGTATGCAACTCTCATCGATTGATGCATCATGACTTGAGTTTAGATTTGCTCTTGATGGAATTTAAATGTTGCGGCGATCAAATTTGGCTTCCTTTGAATGGATCAAATGACATTTTGTTTCAGGGATTCTTTTTCGCGAGTCAACTGTTGATGACTTACTCTTGTTTGAACTGTTGTCCCAGATAATGTATTTCTAATAATTATTGATAAGTTGTGCTGTATGTCATCTTGTATCTCCATGCCTACTAAATTCTATAACTTCTCTGCAGCCTCTTGAATACTTACATCAAGGAGTACCTTGTTGAGCTTGAACTAAGTGATCTCGCGAGCTTGTTTATGGAGGAGGCCGAAAAAAATGCAGACATCCCGCCCGTTCCATTTGTTCAGATGTGGGTTCAGCTGGAAAGCCAGATGAACCCCTGCTCTCCTCCTTCGTAGTAAAATTGAATACCTTTTTGTTTCTTTAAAAGTAATTTGTATTTGTGAATTTTAGACATTGAGGTGCTTTTTATCTTGTTGGCAGTGATAAACAGATGGCGCCGATGTTATCCCTGAATGAGGGCATCGAGAAGTACCTAGAGCACCTCCAAATTGACAGGAGGAGCTTTAGCGAGAAGGCTTGGAGACATGTTGTTCGTAGGATTCCTCTGATTGCTATTTGGATGGAAAGAATATACCCACAAATTGTTGCTGGCGAGCACTGAACAGACTGTAATATGAGGCAGTTGGCAGTTGACAACAGTCTATATGGATTTGATAATAACTGTGACGACGGATTTGATTCATTGTGCATTACTTTGTATAGGATTGATAATAACTGCGATTGATGATAGATACTTCCTCTGTAAAGGATCGCTGCTTTTGATAATAGATGCTTCATCTGTATAGGAATGATAACAACTATGATTGATAGTAGATTGATTCATCGTGACTTTGTCTGTATGGGATGCCGCAAGAGATACTCTAGTATATGACACGAAATTTGTCTGGAAATGTAAGAAACCTAAGCAGCTGATAAATCATAGTTGATCGTCTCACCAAAATATTGATTCTCCCTCTAGGACGCGCAGACGACCATGCAATTCTTGTCCGCAAATGAGGCAGTTGACCTTCGTCTCCAACATTGGCAGGATGCATTTCTCGTGATATGTGTGTCCACAATTGAAATAAGCCCTTTCTTCCCTTCTTGTGCACTCGTCCTGCAAAGTAGCCAATAGCTTGTCATTCGGACTGGTTTGGACATTAGTTTGACTTAGCTGAAGCTACACAAGTGAGATGATGAATGAGCATTACGAACCGAGCAGACGGCACAAACAATGGGTTCTTCAATATCTTTCGCAGAATCGTCCTCACCAATGATTCCCTTTTCCATTCGCTCTTTAATTTTGTTGTACCTTCGCTCCGATAGTTCGTGTACAATCTGCAATTGCATCTTTACCTTAGTTGTCTCCTCAAATCCTCATTTAAATATGTTTCTACTAATCCACGGCTCAGAATTCCGTTGGCTAAGAATTCAATTCAGTTTATAAAGGATAAGAACTTCTATAACTAGTTGCTAGATCTTAATGATACAGAGTTTAAAAACAAATGTTACAAATTCTATTCGTTAAATTTTCTGCAGAAATTTGATTAACAATGAGGGACAATCTTTTTTCCCGATGACCATATGCATAGGAAGTGTATTATTTTGAAAAATGCATTGAATATGGGTTCTACCAATACTTTACATAAATTTCCTAACGGCCAATAAAATAAAATATTTGCCAAAAGAAGGAAGGAGTTTCTATTATATGACTGGTAAACCAAAGTCCCTCGCAAGTAATAAGAAGGAAAAGATTGAAAGTTGAAATCAAAAAAAGAAAAAAATCATATCACTTGCCTATACTCGGACTTTATACTTAGTCACCTACACTTGAGATTTTACAACTGTGTTGACAATAAGATAAGCGAAATTATATTTTCATAACCAAAAAGTTTTCTTCCACAACTTTTCGGAGTCTCTAATTTTGAAAAGACCATTCTGCCTTAAACCTACCTCATACACATTCTCCATTAAGATTCCTGAAAATTATGAAGGCTTAAATACCCAGAGCATAATTGAGGAAATAGTTAAAGAAATCTAAACTTACTTTTTTATTTTTATATTTGTTGTTTCTACCATGTTCCATTTTCAATTTTTGATTACTTGACCCTGTTGTAATCTAAAAGCAACGGCGTCGACCAATCTGAATATTGCTATTTTTTTTTGGTAAGGTAAATCTGAATATTGCTATTCGACGACTCATTTTCAAAAGAAAAAAAACGTCCCATATTTCTAAATTTCAATTTAATCTAAACATAATTTATTCCAAATGAATTATAGAATACAAACATCTATAATATTTTCATTTAATTTAATCATAAATCAAGTGAATATCTTTATTAGTTGCTATTTATTCACATTACTAAAATAAGCTATTGCTTAAGTTAAAAGTAATGTGTTTTAGGAAGGATAAATACTTCAGTTTTCCGTTTAGATTTATATGATATTTCATCCAAATGGCATTTATATTTGTTTCTTTATGTATTTTACCCATAACTAAGAATATATGATTATGCCATACAAGTTCACATAATCAAATAAATTATACTTAAAACTATAAGCAAACTTTTTGGTGATAAAATAAGTTTGTAATTTGTTTTATTGTCAACTTTAATTTACAAAGATATATATATATATATATATATATATATATATATATATATATGTTAAGTTTTGCAACAATGAAAAATTATTATAATTATTAAACTTAAAGGAAATTTATTTCAATATATTAAGTACCCTTTATCTATCTAATTGAGCGATAATTTTAATTGATGTTCCGTTTATAAATTCTCTATGTTTTTTGTTGCCTTTTCATTTAACTTTAGCATATGTTAAATAGATTGCACAAAATATTTTCTTTTCACTTCGTGCTTGCCTTTCACAATCACAAGATCGAATTAAAAAAAAAACACCAAAATCAAAGAAAAAAGAGAATTTCATGTATGTCCAGCTCATCCGATCTGAACTAACATAAGGCGAGAATACCCAATAATTTTCCAGAAGGAAGACGCTCAGAATGACAAAGGAACGTAGGGCTAAGTAGGGCTAAGTTTTTTAGCATGAAAAAGAGAAACACAACGTTAGTTTACACTATTTTGCCAACCTACTCAATTAATTATTTGGTATAGGGTATTTTTGTCTTTATAATTGTTACGAATCTTCAGGGAAATTCAGGATGAGCTTTTAAGGGTAAATTAGTCTAACAAAAACAGAAATACTTTTCGGTTGTGGAAATATCATTTCGCTAAGATAAAAAAGCAGACAATATACATAAATCAAGACAAGTTAATTCAGCGAATTTCCGACCAAAAAAAAATTCAGCGAATAAGTGTTAAGGCAAGATAAGTATAATGCCCTTTCTTATTTTCTTTAATAGTTCAATTTATTTATCCATCCAATAAAAATTTGTGATTAGTAAAGAATTGGAACATAAAAGAGTTTGAGTTTACTTAATTGCTCAACAGATATGCTTGTCAACATGCTCAATATTTGTCAGACGGGATTGAGGGATTGCAATTAGTATGATGTACAATTGACTGGGTAGATAAAAAGCAAAATAATGAATAGTTACTTTTCCTTGTCAAATGATAAATAAAAATATATATCCACGCAACCAGGTGATAATATCTTTGCATGAAATAGAACAAGAACTCCAATGCCGCATGTTTAGAGTCTCACAAAATTATATTGGTGAGTGGAATATTGACTATAAAATAGTATTTTTCGTCATGTTTACTCACCGAAGGAATCAAATGATAAAAGAATGCACGAAATAAAATGTCAAAGCGAAAAGGAAATAGGCGTAATAATCACGGACAACTATGTCGATGGACAAAGCAAATGGCTATTGATAAAAGGGGAAAACAAACTAAAGGGTGGATCACACTAGTGATGGCATAGAGAAAAAAAACTTGAGATAGCTAATCATCACGAAATACATTTAAAAAAAATTGCATAATTAGAATCACAAGAGGGATATGAAACTTAGAATAGTTTTTAATAAAGGAAACGACAGTGATAGGAGCAAGAGAAATATTACATGGTAAGGGACTTTCCGAAGCCTTGGAACCATAAAAAGATATATGCCGACTAGGTGATCGAGCGTGAATCGAGATACCCAGAATTCCATTGGTAATGGCTTTATCTGCAATAACAAAATTGAGAGAAAGAACCGATGAGCATTCTCAACTAATGAAAGCGCCAACCCTAGCTTGGCAAATCTGCAATCTTGGTTTGGTTGTGCACGCAATGCCCCGACATTGTGCTCTAGTAAAGGGGGTTTAACCCATCGCAATCGGTGTTGAATAAAGGAAGGCACGAGGTTATTCTTCAATATTAAGAAAAGAAGAAGCGGAAGAAAGCTTTATGATAGGAACGACCTTTCCGAATTGAAGCGGTGGTGCAACATTCTCCCCCTCCTCTTGAGTTACCGTCATTGATTTTCTCCGACGCTAACGATGATATTTGGCTTTTGATTTCCTTCGGTCTTCTTCTCTTCGAGTTTTGGTGAATAGATTTTATAGGCGGGGGTTGCCAATGCAATTCCGATACTCGTAAGGAAAGTGGCCGATATCTTCCCGGTAATGATTTGGGTGGGAATGGGATATCTCTCTTCTTTTAACTACAGCAGATGGAGTATGTGCTGGCTGTGAAGTCTCGCAATTTTAGGAAAGAAAGGGAACTTTTGAATATCTTATCTGACCAAAAATCCTACCTACTCTAATCACTCCACATAACAAATCAACCCAGAAGATAGTTTGAACCTCAAATTGAGAAACAAAATCGTGACTCAATCTCTTAACCCTTCAAATTACGATTCCTTAGAATCTCAAACGCCTTCCAAATTTGGATTAGAATCTTTCTAACCTTTGACCGGTTCAATCCTTCTTGTTTTAAAATTTTCTGGTTCGTCTCCCCGAATTGGCCTTCACTTGACCTGGAACAAAGAAGAAGAAAGAGAATAAAAAAAGTGGACCGACTGAAACAAAACTGATTAAATGCGGGTAACAACTTGAATTGACAATAATTTGACATTTTAAGTGGTTATTTAAAAATGAAAACTACGTTCATAAAAAACTGTTTTCCTCATAGCAACCAAGATTATCATTTTATTCTGCTTTACTATTAGAAGGACACCGAACATTTTCATATAGTTTAGGAATTAAATTGAACATGTACAAAAAGTTCATAGGTCATATTGAACAAATTAAAAGTTCGGGGATGACATTGCACATTGAGCTAAAATTCAAAGATCACATTGAACAAATTTAAAGTTCAGGGATCACATTGCACATTCATCACTAATCACGACAGCATTACAAATTAGATACACCATGAAAAATGCCCTCACTACTAGCTACGATTTGACGTGGATCAATAGAATTCACATTACTGACTCCTAAATCGATGCACTATACTTGATTTGTTGTTTAAGGTCTTCGTATTTGATTTCGTTTTGAAATATAGTGATTTTGTTGTCTATGTTTCCAAGCGAAATATTTCTCAATTTGGAAAGAATTGCTTATCATTCTTTCATATTTCACAATTAGAAGCGCCATTATTACAAGATAAGACTTAAATTGGAAGTCCTTTTCTACAACAGTTCACGCAATTCCTTTA